TGAGGGGTTAGGAGGAGGGTGAGGGGTCAGGGAGAGGTTGAGGGGTTAGGGATAGGTTTAGGTTGAGGGGTCAGGGGGAGGTGGAGGGTGAGGGGTCAGGAAGAGGGTGAGGGGTCAGGGAGAGGTTGAGGTTTAGGGGTCAGGGATATGTTTAGGGTGAGGGGTCAGGGAGAGGTTTAGGGTGAGAAGTCAGGGAGAGGATTAGGGGGAGGATGACGTGGGGTCAGGGAGAGGTTGAGGGTGAGGGGTTAGGTGGAGGATGATAAGGGGTCAGGGAGAGGATTATTTGGGGTTAGGAGGAGGTTGAGGTTTAGGGGTCAGGAAGAGGTTGAGGGGTTAGGAGGAGGTTGAGGGGTCAGGGAGAGGTTGAGGTTTAGGGGTCAGGAAGAGGTTGAGGTTTAGGGGTTAGGAGGAGGTTTCGGGGTTAGGAGGAGGTTGAGGGGTCAGGGAGAGGTTGAGGTTTAGGGGTTAGGAGGGGGTTGAGGGGTCAGGGAGAGGTTGAGGTTTAAGGGTTAGGAGGAGGTTGAGGTTTAGGGTCAGGGGTTAGGAGGAGGTTGAGGGGTCAGGAAGAGGTTGAGGTTTAGGGGTTAGGAGGAGGTTGAGGGGTCAGGGAGAGGTTGAGGTTTAGGGGTTAGGAGGAGGTTGAGGGGTCAGGGAGAGGTTGAGGGTGAGGGGTTAGGAGGAGGTTGAGGGGTCAGGGAGAGGTTGAGGGTGAGGGGTTAGGAGGAGGTTGAGGGGTCTGTGTTCCTCCATATTTCCCAGGGATTGGAATCATGGAAGTACTCCCGGCTTGTCGTTGGCTCCTCCCCCTCATGTGGTGCTCCCTGTCAGACCTCTTCAGGACGGGGATGACCCCCTCGCTCTATATTGATCCGGGATATGATTGGGTGGAGCGGGCCAGCGAGGGGTGCGGCCCGGACAGGTGGGGCGCTCGGGTCATGTGACAACTTTAAATTTTCCCTCCTGGAATGTGAGACGGGAAACGTTGTCCAGACACCAGAATTCCGGGAACGTCGGTGAGATCATCTGCCTGCCCGCCGCTCCGGGCTCAGCTGCTGTGGGGCCCCTTTAAATTACGGGGCCCGGGACGGTTACCCCTTTTGCTCTGCGGTAATGGCGGCTCTGAACGGCGGCCCCCGAGGGCCAGAAGTGATCGGGCATTTGGAGACCCCTGATCCATACATACAGAAGAACAGATACCGAGAATGACACCCGGCATACAGGACAAGAGAAGTGGTACTGTGCAGAGTCCATACACACAGAACAAGAACAGATACCGAGAATGACACCCGGCATACAGGACAAGAGAAGTGGTACTGTGCAGAGTCCATACACACAGAACAAGAACAGATACCGAGAATGACACCCGGCATACAGGACAAGAGAAGTGGTACTGTGCAGAGTCCATACACACAGAATAAGAACAGATACCGAGAGTGACACCCGGCATATGGGACAAGAGAAGTGGTACTGTGCAGAGTCCATACATACAGAATAAGAACAGATACCGAGAATGACACCCAGCATACAGGACAAGGGAAGTGGTACTGTGCAGAGTCCATACATACAGAATAAGAACAGATACCGAGAATGACACACGGCATACCGGACAAGGGAAGTGGTACTGTGCAGAGTCCATACATACAGAATAAGAACAGATACCGAGAATGACACCCGGCATACAGGACAAGAGAAGTGGTACTGTGCATACATACAGGTATATATGGGGGAGAGCAGAGATTTCTGGTACATATAGGAGCCCCCCAGGAAAAGTCCATATACCCCCTCTTCCTGACACCCCAAGTAGCTGCTGACCTCCCTTCACCCACCTAGTTGTATCCCGGTCCCTTGCCTGCCACCCCCAGATCCC